CCATCCATCCATAGTTCTTCAATGTTTTCTTAAACTCTGGCAGGTGCCTGGCCTCGAGGATAATTATAAAATAAACAGTATTCCTGCTTATATAGTTTACATGTTAGTTGAGAGACAGACAGGCATTGACAATACAAGTGATACTGATCAGTAATTATTTCTGGGTGGCCAGGGTGGAAGGTGCTCCTATTTTTACTTTTTATGCTACTAAATGGTTTTGATTTTTACAGTGACTGTGTGGTATGTTTCATAAAACTAATTTTAAAAACAGTATGTCCTGGGGCTGGAGAGATGGCTCAGTGGTTAAAAGCACTGGTTGCAGGCCGGGCGGTGGTGGTGCATGCCTTTAATCCCAGCACTCGGGAGGCAGAGGCAGGCAGATCTTTGTGAGTTTGAGGCCAGCCTGGGCTACCAAGTGAGTTCCAGGAAAAGACTCCAAGCTACAAAGAGAAACCCTGTCTCGAAAAAACAAAAAAAAAAAAAAAAAAAAAAAGCACTGGTTGCTTTTCCAGAGGACCCTGGTTCAAATCCCAGCACTCACATGGTGACTCACAACTATCTCTTACTTCAGCTCTAGGGGATCTGATGCCCTCTTCTGGCTTCTGCAGACATACATACATGCAAAACACCCACACATATAAAACTAAAATAGTATGTTCCAGTCAGATGGGGTGGCATATGCTTTTAATCCCAGCACTCTGGAGGCAGAGGCAGGCGGATCTCCATGAGATCAAGGCCACCTTGGTCTATAAAGTAAGTCCCAGTCCAGCCCCGCGACACTGTGAGATCCTGTCCCAAAAGTCTTTAAAAGTCAGCTGAAGGGGAGAAGAGACTAGGACAGAGGGTGCACTGTGTGGGTCCTGGTTTCTCCTTAGCGTGTCTCCACAGCGGGGAAACCTCAACACCCGGCTTCGGAAGCTTGATGAGCAGCAAGAGTTCAGTGCCATTATCCTGGCTGTAGCTGGCCTGCAGCGCATGGGCTGGCAGAACCGGGTGGGACAGGTAGGGGCTGCCCCATTCCATTTTAATCTGCCTTTCTCTCCTGACTTTTATCTTCGTGACCATTCTGCCAATAACACTAACAAGCCAGAAGTAAGCCCAGGCTAGGGGCAGTGGGATTAGAGGCCAGACTCATGCTTGTACCTCCCCCAGGCTTCCCAGTTGGCAAACCCTAGCTCACTGCTTTTGGACACCCCACCATTCTGTCTGTTCTGCCTCCACAGATCTTGCACCCAGAGGAATGTATGTATGCTGTGGGTCAGGTGAGTTTGCCTGGAGAGGGCTTTGTTCATGTACCCTTTCAAGAACCTGGGTCCATAGCCTTTGACATCCGCTTCCCACCAAATACAATGTTTAGGGAGGGGCGGGCTTTGGCAAGCAGAAGACCCTGGGAAGCAGGTAGAAGAGGGGTGGTTCCCATGTTCAGCTCCATGACTGGAGAAAGAGCAGGCCTGTTTTTCCTTTAGGGAGCCCTAGCGGTGGAAGTGCGAGCCAAGGACCAGGATATCTTGGAACTTGTCAGTGTGTTGCATGATCCTGAGACTCTGCTTCGCTGCATTGCTGAGAGGGCCTTTCTGAGGCACCTGGTAAGACTTGGGGTCCTCCCACGGTGGTATGAGGACTGGGGGAATCGGAAGGGCAGTAAGAGGTTTCTCAAGTAAGTGCTCTGTAATGTAATGGTAACTCAGTTGTGGAGAGGACCTTGGTCTGCCCCAGCAGCCTGTTCATGTCTTTAGAGGCCCTTAGAGCTCTCAGGGACTTGTCATTGCAGGAAGGAGGCTGTAGTGTGCCAGTAGCCGTACATACAGTGATGAGCGACGGGCAGGTAAGCAGGGAAAATGGATGGGGGAGGGGGGGTTGTGGCATTACTGTGTGCACCTGAGCATCTAAGCAACTTTCTCTGAATATGTGGTACAACCCATTTTATTTCCTAGCTGTACCTGACTGGAGGAGTCTGGAGTCTAGACGGCTCAGATAGCATGCAAGAGACCATGCAGACTACCATCCAGGTCCCTTTTCAGGTATTTATTGACTGGGAGATGGAGGAATAAACACAAGTACTTATAACCTTCCCTCTCACCAAATAACTCCTTCTGTCATCCAGCATGAAGATGGTCCAGAGGATGACCCGCAGCTGGTTGGAATCACAGCCCGGAACATTCCAAGAGGAGCCCAGCTAGCTGCTGAAAACCTGGGCATCAGCCTGGCCAGCTTGTTGCTGAACAAAGGAGCCAAGAACATTCTGGATGTCGCACGGCAGCTTAATGATGCGCACTAACTGGTCTATAGGGTACAGGAACCCCGGCCGCCTCTTTCCAGTGCCTACATCTGGCTTCCAAGTGCCCTGTGCTCCCTAACTTTGGGGGGTGACTATCCCAGGAGATTGAACCACAGGGTATTGAGACTTCCAGAGACGTGCCTCACCTTGGGGCCTTGATGACTGCCCAATAGTCGGGGCTTCACCTCTTAGAAAAAGTCCATGCCAATCTTTGAATGTAACCAATGCCACTAATAATTAAACCAGCTCTGAATGTGGTTGTTATTTTGGTGGAGTTGGGGAAGATATAAATAAACCCAAAGCCCTTTAAACCTGAATTTTGAATCTGGGACTTCTCTGTTGCAAAAAACAAACAAATAAAAACCTTCTTTGACTACTTCATGTTCTCAAAATATAGGAAGTACCAAGGAAACAAACAGCCTGCCTGTCTCCAGTACCAGTAGCTACCTGTATTAGACTTTCCCATTCCCAGGGCCCAAAGAAAGTAAGGGAACTTACCCTTTCGTCCCACCTCCCACATGGCTAGAGCCAGGCACATGGCTCTAACGCGCAGCCATATAACCCCAGCCCCGGGCCTACAGCAATTCAAAATTAAAACAAGACACTCCATTTTTAAAAAACCAAACAATCCTTTAATAAAATTAGCCCATCGAAACTCCCCACTACCTAAGGTTCTAAACTTGGGATAGCTGCAAAATTCCAGTTCAGAAGCCAACCGAGGCTCAGTCCAGAGAGGGATTCACCGACTTGTGCTGGTATCTAGGTGTTTGGGTTGAGTCGAGTCGCTGGGGAGAAAAGGGGGATGGCTAGGCCCGGCTGCCAGTCTCCTGCGGCAGGAACACAGCTCTTCTGTCCACAGGCCTTGCAAGCGTCTCCCAAACCCTTTCCAGGAGGCATCCTGGGGAAAATCGGTTCGTAATACAGTGCTTTTAGTCCCGGCCACACCACACACCGGCCTATGAATGAAGATGGGGGAAACTGGTATGAGAGGCCAGCAAGGGGGACGTACAGGACCAAACAATACGATCCACTTCTCAGTCACTTCGGGAAGGTCCAGGCGAGGGCTAAGCACCAAGCTGAAGAAAAGACGCCCAGGTTGCAGCTGCGGAGGGACTCACCTTCAGGCCCACCTCGGCCGTACGTCACAGCAAAAAGCCGAGACTTCTGGAAGGCGCCGCAGCCTCTCCGCGCGGCCCATCGAAGGCGGAGATCGGCGAAGCTCCGGGATGGGGCAGGTGCCGCGGCGCCCGCGTCCTCCGTGGCTGACCCGGAGGCCGTGCAGGGGAAAAGGGAGGCGGAAACGCGCGAGGGCAGAAGGAGAAGGAAAGAATGGGGACGAGGCGGCCCGGCCCGCAGTGGCCCTAAGTGGCTCAGCTCTTTCTGTGCGGGAAGTGGTGGCCCTGAAAAGGGCCTTTGTGGAGGTGTGGGGAGGGCTGGGCGGCCACGGCGCGGGCGCCCTTAGTACTCCTGCGAGGCCTGGGTGGCCTTCTTGCCGCCCGCCGGCGCCTTGGGCCCCACGGTGGCGCTGGTCTTCTTGGGCAGCAAAACGGCCTGGATGTTGGGCAGGACGCCGCCCTGCGCGATCGTCACGCCGCCCAGGAGCTTGTTGAGCTCCTCGTCGTTGCGGATGGCCAGCTGCAGGTGGCGCGGGATGATGCGCGTCTTCTTGTTGTCCCGGGCCGCGTTGCCCGCCAGCTCCAGGATCTCGGCCGTCAGGTACTCGAGCACGGCCGCCAGGTACACGGGCGCGCCCGCGCCCACGCGCTCGGCATAGTGGCCCTTCCGCAGCAGCCGGTGCACGCGGCCCACGGGGAACTGCAGGCCGGCGCGCGACGAGCGCGACTTGGCCTTGGCGCGGGCCTTGCCTCCGGTCTTGCCGCGACCCGACATGGTGTGTTCACGAGGTAGAAGAGCAGAGAGAGGGAGAGCGCGAACGCCAACGAACCAGAGCAACTGCCAACCGCCGCAGTCAACTGTCGCCGCGCGCGGGCGAGCTCGCCCTTATAAGCTCACCGGACACGCCCCCGCGCCCGCCTGATTGGCTCTTTTCCTGCACACCGGCCTCTGGTTGGTTGCAATTAACCCTTCGGTGACGCGCCGAGGCGGAGAGAGCTCGCCCAGCGATTGGTCCAATTTGAAAACCTTTTACCCGGGGAAGAAAGCAAGGCGGAGTAGCCGCGAGCCGCAGGCGAAGCACCCGTGCGAGGGGCCAATCCGTATTAAGCGCGCGAAATTTAAACGCTACCGAGCGCAACCAGAACCGGAAGACACGGAGGGAGGAGTCTGGAGCCACCTCTACGGTCTCTGGGAAATCTGGGCCGGCCTAGGGTTTTAAAGGAAAAGGGTCAGCTGGGCGCTGGTGTTGCACGCCTTTAATCCCAGCGTTCAGGAGGCAGAGGCAAGTGGATCTCAATTCAAGGTCAGCCTGGTAACAGAGTGAGTTCCAGGACAGCTAGGGCTACACGGGGAAACCCTGTCTCGGGGGAAAAAAAGTTTCAAGAGAAAGGGTCTACACTATAAACCACCACCACTTTCCTCCTTCCAGGGCAGGGCATTCCCACTCCCTCCTCAAATCTGGCAAAGGGAGGGTTTAAAAGAGAAAAAAAATGAGGCTGGGCGTGGTAGTGCACGCCTTTAATCCCAGAGCTTTGAGGCAGAGGCAGTCGGGTCTCTGAGGTCAAGGCTAGCCTCGTCTACAGTGTGAGTTCCAGTACAGCTATAGGGCTGTTACACAGAGAAACCCTGTCTCAAAAGAGAGAGAGAGAAGAAATGAAACCTAAGAGTTCAATCCTATGTCGGAAAACTGAGCGTTGTGATCCTCTGTTTTACCACAAGTTAGTATTTTAATATTTATTCAACATGTTCTGTCTGGTTTCAGTTCTGTCACTTCTTGCAGGAAAGGGTCTGGTGGGGCAGAGGTAGGCATCCTATTGGAAAAGGTACCCACCCCAATCCTTCCAATCAATCCTAAAATGCCCATACGAAAAATAAATATATCAGGCTGGGCATATGGTTCAGTGGTAGAGCACTTACGTACAAGGAAGCCCTGAGTTCAATCCTCAAGCACCTCAAAGGTCAGGGAAAAAAGTGGGAGAGGAGTGGATATACCTACAGGAGCAAGTAAAAGACAGTCCTTTATTGTCACCATTTTGAGCACATGGCCCTGCCTCTGCCCTTCCTAATCAGAACACTTAATTTTAAAGTCAGATGTGAGGTTACCTCGGAGTATAGGGCCCTAACTCTAAGCCCTAGCTCAGGTTCTCTCTCAGGGTCCAGCAAATTCCTGTAGAATCAGGGCTCTGAAAGTTGAGCTGTGAATATTTGCATAAAAGCTGCTACATCTCCCCTTAAGAGGCTGCAGCTAGGACAGAAAGGGAGAGGGTCGCAAGCTAAAGAATGCCATAGGCAAAGTCCAACCAATGGACTTTAAATCCAATAAGGTCCAGGTCAATATCCACAGGTGATAGGAGCAGCTCAAAACAAAAGTGAAAAATGGACAGTCAGAGCCTGGACCGGAAGGCAGTCCTGGACCAAACAGAGGCCGGTCCTGGGTGAGGTCCAATGGAGACTGTGTGGGGAAGGACAATCTTCAGAGAACTCAGACATCGTAGAAGAGTCGGACAAGCTGGTAACGGATGGAGAAGGTCAGGGCACTGCTCAGGATCTGGAAGGAGAAATGGACTGGAATAAGAACCCAGGTAAAAGAGAGACAAGAAAATGTACGTAATTACCCCACCCTCGATTGTACCTGCAATAGCAGCAAGAGCAGTGTGAGGTTTCGCTCGTGTATGGGCCCAAAGACTTTAAGCAGCAGGTTGATGAGGGTCATGTTGTTACATTCAGTGAAGGCACCGTCCTCACTCTCACCTCGATGGACTGTCACTAGCCGGAGGCTCTCTGCCACCTGGAGGGGCCGGATGTGAAGACAGCTTCTGATACACACATTTCATCAACAGGGAATCTTCTTGATGCTTCCAAACTCCCCTTGGGTCTGAGAAGGCCTAGGTTTCCCTTGTCCCAAGTTAAGGATGGTGGCCTGGGGCCTTACCTCCTTGTTACCTTGTTACCTTTAAAATAAAGGTGCCCAAGAAAGAGAGGCTCTTGGTCTTGAACTTGGAATAGCTCATCTCCAGTTTGCCTGTCTTCGTATTGAGTCTGTAAAGGGAAGATGATTTCATGTGATTGAATCACTACTCAGAGAACTCTCCAGCCTGGGTTACTGAGCAGAGTCCTGAGTACTTAAGCACTGGAGTTTGTTTCTGGCTCAGCTGCTTACATCTGGGGGATGGAAACTGTTGTAAGCATCACACATTATGTAAGTAAATGTGTTTGGTAAATTAGAATGGACTACCCACATACAGGTCTCCCTTCTTTTCCCTCCTCTTCTTACGTAGGAAATGTGGAGGCTGGCTTTAGCCATCCCAAGTGGAAAGCTGTAATGACCCTTTGAAGCCCCAGAGTGGCTACCTGGGTATACGGTGTCGCGGGCAGGGGATGATGTGAAAGAGCTGAGGCAGTGAGTAGAGGAAATTGAACACTTGTGGCATAAAGAAGAGTAGCATGGTCTTGCTGAAGTGTCCCAAGATTCCCACCACGGCAAAGGTCATGCCAGCAAAATAACAGAAGGTATCTCCCACAAACACCTGTGACGGGTACCTGTATGGGAGAGAGGAGCTGAGCCGAGGGCAAGAGTCACCACTGACCCTTTTTCTTTCACATCACACACTCTCAGCAACAGGCTAGTCCTGACTCCGAGTTCTAGGAGCAAGGCTGTTCCAGAAACTCTGCAGGACCCAAGGCCCCAGATTCATCCATTCCTGGGGGATCCATAACATTTGTTCCCAACTACTGCAGGTAGACAGCAACCCATAATAAGTACCAGGCTGGGGTGTGGCTTAGTGATAAAGTAGTCACCTAGCATGTACAAGGTCATAAATTCAATCCCTAGCACTATGGTGTATGTGTGGTGGGAGTGAGGGGTGGTATCTAATAGCACACGCTTGTAATCCCAGCTGTTACTGAAGGCAGGAGTTCAATCTTGACCAACACAATAAGTTCAGTGCCAACCTGGGTAACTTGAGAGTACGAGTACCGTGCGCACACACACCCACACCCACACACACCGCCCCAATCTCAAAAGAAAAACTAAAGGGCTGGGGATACAGCTAAGTAGTAGAACTTGTCTAGCATTTTTAAGACCCCCAGATTCACTCCCTGTACCATAAATACACCAATGCTCGCACCCACACACAGAACAACAGGAATGGCAAACCACTACCAACGGGAGAGCCAGGGATACCCAACAAAGATAGGCACAATTTTAGTCTCCTCATTAGAAGCCAGGTTATGTCCAGACCATCCCTCCCACATATCTCTTACCCATAGGCCTAATTACCAGTTATGGTACAGCAATCCCAAGGTGGTAAAAAAAAATGGTATCATGAAGTAGAGGGAAAAGACATGATCATCCCGATAATCACCTTTGGAGCAGAGTAAAAAGGAAGAAGTTAGTACCCACATCCCCTACGCACCTCGGTCTCATCTGTGTCTAATTTATGTTCCCAGCCATTAGGAACACCTCACCCAAATCAATTTCAAGACCAACGCTCCCCTCCCCTGCCCCGCACTGGTCTACAACTTCCCATGTTGTTCCCAAGTCTGGTCTCCACCTCCCACGCGCTGGGATTACAGGTATTTGCCACCATCCCCAGCTCTGACTTCCCCTTTCACATCACCCAGGCAATTCCCAATACTCTAGCGCTTTCACTGAGGCTTCAAAAAAAGCTAGTGACTGTCTTAAATGTGAAAGTCCAGCTGGGGTTTGAATACCAGTTTTACTTCCTAGCTGTGTGAATTTGAATATGACACATTGAGTTTCTCTAAGCTTCCATTTTCTCATCTGTCAAACTGGATAAAGCAAGTTCCACAAAGTCAATGTCTGATTTAAAGGAGATGATGCTTTAAAAGTGCTTGGCTTTAGCTGGGGGCAGGGAAGGTGCACACGCCTTTAACCTCAGCACTTGGATCTCTGTGAGTTCCAGGGCTACATGGTACAGCCATGTCTCAAAACAAAGTGCTTAGTTTTAATAAGCACTTGTTGATGTCCATCAACTAAAGACAACCAGAAATATCTAATAGTCAAACCTGGATTTACTCAGAAACTAAGACTTCTGAAACCATAAACCACAGGGAACCATAAAACATATCACTCAAGGGAGTGCTGAGGAGCTTGTTTTAGGATTTGTTTTGGGTAATTTGGGAGAGGAAAAAGGAAGTAGAGATGCACTGTGAATTGGGAGCTCTCAGAAGGCATGAGTAATTTTTTGTTATTGTTGTTTTGTGTTTTGAGACAGAGTTTCTCTGTGTAGCTCTGGAGCCTGTAGACCAGGCTGGCCTTGAACTTACAGAGATCCGCCTGCCTCTGCCTCCTGAGTGGGCATGAGTAATTTTTAATATATATGTTTCAATCTAAGAAGTAGGAGGAAGTCAGGTGCAGTGCGCATGCCTGTAATCCCAGCGCCTGGGCTCCAGGTGCAGTGGCACACACCTACAATCCAAATGCTCAGGAGACAGGTAAAGATGACCATGGGTTTGAGGCCAGCCAGGGTTGCATTAGCAAGACTGTCTCAAATTAACAAAACAAAAAAAAGTGAGAAGAACTGAATTGTTATTGGAAAAAAGCTCTCATGTTAGCTGAAAGGGGATCCTGGTCATTTTTATGTTGCTCAGTCAGTGTTCCAGGTTGCCTGTACTCAGGCATAGTTATGAAGGGAGGAGTGTGTGTGTGTGTGTGTGTGTGTGTGTGTGTGTGTGTGTGTGTGTGTCTTTTTCCACTGTGGTCAGAGGGTGAGTGACCCTTTCTGATGCTGGGGTTCTGTGTAGCTGTTTATCTCCAATAGGAATCACTGGTCTAGCCACGCCAATCAAGCGAGAGCTGACGGCACTGCTGTTCCTCCTCATGTTTAACTCCCTGCTGGTGTTTGCGAGGTAAATAGCTTCCATTCGAAAACCGCTTTTGTGGTTGCCCTTCCCCCGGGAATTCTCTAAATCCACACCAGGCAATTCCCTCAACACGCAGGCATCTCTTTCCCCATCTCCAGTCCCACCTACCTCCCAGCTCCACTAGGTTGAAGACGATGATGGAAGCGGAGATGACTAGAGACTGACCAGCCTCTAGGCCATTGATTCCTGCTAGGATGTTGATGGCATTGGTACAGAACACCGCAAGCAGTCCCATGTAGACATAGTACAGGATCCCTGGGGACACAGAATCAGAGTTAGAGCTTCCTAGGGAAGTAGGATTTGGATTTTTTTTTTTTTTTGAGAACAGAGCACAGGATGAATGAAAGGATCTGAATAGGCAAGGCCTAGTGGCACAGGTCTATAATTCCAGCTACTTGGAAGGCTGGGACAGGAGGATTACCAGCTTAAGGCCTGCTTGGGCTAAGTAAGTTCAAGGCAGCTTAGTGTGTGACCATGTTTTGAAAATTTTAAAGACATGTATTTTATGTATATGGGTACTTCGTCTGCGTGTACATCTGCTCACCAGAAGAGGGCATCAGACAGTAATGAGCTGCCATGTGGGTGCGGGGGAATTGAACTCAGGACCTTTGGAAGAACAGTGAGTGCTCTTAACCACTGAGCCATCTCCCCAGTCCCCCTGATTTGAAATTTTTAGAAAATGGGAAAACTAGGAAGGAAAAGCTTCGGTATAGCTCAGAGTGCTTGCCTGGCAAGCATGAGATCTTAGGTTCAATTCCTTGATTCAGGAAGGAAAGAAAGGATAAGAAAGAATGAGGACAGGAAAAAGAGAAATCTGAGACACATACTTGATGGAGAATACGGAACACCAGGAAGGGTGTTCTACTGGGATCTCAGAGGAAAGGGTACCCTGAAGTCGGTGCCACAGGGCACCAGTGACAGGGCTACTCACCCAAGTCCAGGTGCAGGCCAAGGATCCAGCGGAAGGGCTTGGGCACCACGATGGTTGTATTGCCGAAGTTAGTGAAGTAGACCATGAGGAGAGGTAGTGAGGCGGCTGTGGGCAGCAGCAGCTTATGGCGCCAGCGCAGATTGAGGACATCATCGGCGAAGCCCAGGAAGATCATGCAGCAGATGGCAAGCAGGGCGCCGATCAGGGCCACAAACTGGGGACGGCCCGGGCAAATCAGTCTGCCATCCGCCTTTCAAGAAGTCCCGCTTCCTGTCTTTTCTTTTGGAGTAGAGGACTGAACCCGCGGCTTTGGGCATGCACACTAGGGAGGCTCTATCACTGAGCTATAATCACCCAGTCCAAGAATTCCTGTCTCTACAGTTGGGTCCACAAGCACCCACTCTGCCCAAATCCAAATAACCCCAACTCAAGTAAGTGCCGGGCCCCAGCCGACCGTCCGCACGAGTGCACTTACTTCATGGTGGGGGAAGGCCTTACATTGCTGCTCCACAAAGCAGTTCAGGAAGGGGAAAGGGATGAAGCAGAAGAGGATGATAAGGAAAACAGCACCGCTGATCACTCCCTGGGACTCGGGGCTGCGGCCCAGCAAGCAACCGGTGGAGGAGGAAGAGGAAAGGGGCGTGGTCACTCACTATTGTAAGGGGTTACAGTAACCCAGAGTGGCTTTCTTCCCAGGATTTTGTTTTGTTGGGGAGTAGGGAGAGTGTGCACAGGGAAGAGGGTACGTATCCACTGCTAGAAGTCCTAACACCCAAAGGTCCCATTCCGTTCTTTCCAGGATAGACAATTCTATCACCCCACCCCCACCCGCCAGAGTTCTGGGTTGCCCAGGTTAGCTCTCCCGGGCCAGCGCAAAGCCAAGCACCTCAGTCCTCGCCCCTGTCCTGCACAGCCTGGCCCCCTAACCCAGGACACCCGTGTGCCGTTAACTCACATCTGCTGCCGGCTGAGCTTGTTGAGGTCCTGGCCACAGAGGCGCGCGGCGATAAAGTGGCTACGAAAGGCAGGGATGAGGGTGACCGTAGCCACAAATCCCAGCAACGAGCCGATGAAATTCACCAGCAGCGGCAGCGGCAGCTCCGGGAAGGCCCACATGGTGACCCGCCAGGGGCCGCCGCTCCGCCGCCTACTCAGCTAACTGGCAAACCCGGCACAATCCCAGAGGCCTCGGCAGTCGGCAGTGCCGCTCCCTTACACGCAGAGTATTCCCGCGCCAGCAGGAACAAAACCCAACTATGACCTGACCCTCCCTCCTGACCTGCAAGAGGCTCTATGGAGCAACCTCGGCTCTGCCTCGCTGCACCTACCCTTTGTTTCCGCCCGGATCTTAATTGCAAAAGAACTATCGCTGCTGAAGACCGAGGCACCATTTTTAAAACGGGCACTAGAGCTGGACGAGTGGTGTTATTTTAAACTAAACTTTTGATCGAGAGGAGTGGCATCATTAGAGTTTTGGAAACTCAACAGAAGAAAAGATAAGTGGATACTCTCGGAACATCATATTGTACAGCTCAAAGCGGAAATACGCTTTGCCCAGTTCCAACATGAACGCTTCCTTGTACCACGTGGCTGACACAGCTTGTTCGGTGGTTCCACGTCGTCCCCCCCCCCCCCCGCAGGTCGGGCTTAAAGGGCTAGCAGCCTGCGCTTAATCTAGGATGCCCCGGGGCTGAAAATATGGCTACTGAAAGCCTGTGGTCAAGAGAGAAAAGAGTGTGAAACCACGCCTGCTCTTTGCAGGAAAATTGTTGCCAAGGTAAACACTGCTTCCAGAAACGCAGCCACAATTTGAAGGGATTTTGTTAATTCGGAAGCTCAGACACTCGAAAAGCCCCTCCCATTCTTCTTCTTGTTCTCGATCCAGGTACTTTTCACTCAACAACCCACCCACCTTCTGCCTCCACTATAGCAGTTTGTTGCTGGGCAACCCGCGGCTGCATTTTGCCACTGAGGGAGCTGTTTGTGCGTTCGGGTACTGGATTTAAGAAGGGACTTTAACTTGGTGTTGGATCACAGCACTGTGCCAAGCTCTCAAAACACGGAGACAAACAAGCATTCGAAAGAGCTAATGAGGCAGGAGAGCTTAACCATGCCTCTGGTGAGCCTGTGGGTCTCCAGTCAGGTGTCTTCTTCCAAGTCACTTGCCTTTTGACCCCTCTTCTTCGGCAAGTAGCAGTTCACTGAAACACTGATCTCTTAGGTGGCAAATGTTTTCCATTCCTCAGAGAGGAAGGAATCCACTACAGAGAATTAGGAAGTTGACCATAGCATGGTATTTTGTCCATCTCATTTAAATATAGCATGCTCCTAGGGTCAAAGTGAGATTGACATTTTTAAGGTAAAAGATAATCTTTCCTTTTCCTCCAAACCGTCCAACAGGTATGAAATGCCCCTTCTACTTGAAAATGGTTCTTATTAACCCTAAAGCCACCTAACTCTCTCTCTCTCTCTCTCTCTCTCTCTCTCTCTCTCTCTCTCTCTCTCTCTCACATACACACACACACACACACACACACACACACACACACATTTACTCAATAGTATATACTAAGTTTTGTTTTTCTATGTGTGTACACATTCAAGCAAA